GCTTGCCACCATGCATCTTAAGTAGTTTTCCAAGCACCTATTAACCCTTTATATTTTGCCATCACTTTGAGAGTGATAGGCAGAGCTATAATTGAGTTGAGTGCCCAGTAAGTTGAATAAGGCTCGCCAAAAGTTGCTCAGAAACACCTTGTCCCTATCAGTCACAATAGACTCCGGAGTGCCATGTAGGCTATGTATTCTCTTCCAAAAGACGGAAGTAATAGTGGCGGCAGTATAGGGGTGTGATAGAGCTATGAAGTGTGCATACTTAGTGAATCTGTCAACCACCACTAATATGACATCTTTAGACTTAGACTTGGGAAGACCTTCCACAAAGTCCATGCTGATATGGCACCATGCTTGATTTGGAACAGGTAAGGGTTGCAACAATCCCGGATAAGCCACATTATCGTCTTTATTCCTGTGGCATACATCACAACTGGACACATAATCATTAACCATAAGCTTCATCTTTGGCCAATAGAAGAGTTGCGACAGCCTTTTCAATGTACCTAACTGACCAGAATGACCACCAATGGGAGTGTCGTGGAAAGAAGAAATGAGTTGTTGTCTGAGAGTTCCATGAGATCCTACATATACCTTGCCCTTCTTTCTTAGTATACCAGCTGAGTAGTGCCATAAATTGGGTCCATGAGAATCTACTGCAAGTAGTGTAAGAATGTCCCGGACATGAGCATCCTCGACATAGCTCCCGATAATCTCTCGTACCCAAGTTGGAGTGCAACTGCTTATAGCCATTAAATTCCCAGTAGCCTGATCATCCAAGGAATCTAACCCTTCTTGTTGCCTAGACAAGGCATCAGCAACTCTATTTTCAGCACCTCTCTTATATTGAACCTCATAATCAAGTCCCAACAGCTTGGTCAAACCCTTCTGCTGAATAGCGGAGGTTACCTTTTGTTCAAGTAGATACCTTAATCTATGATGGTCCGTCCGAACCACAAAGTGCTTGAACTGGAGATAGTGTCTCCACTTATCCACAGCACTTAACAAAGCCATATATTCCTTCTCATAAATAGACTTGCCTCGGTGCTTGGGTGCCAACACCTTACTAAAATAAGCAATTGGTCTCCCCTTCTGCATAAGTACTGCACCAATGCCTCCATGACTGGCATCAGTCTCAACGACAAACTCGTGTGAATAGTCAGGAAGTGCGAGCACAGGTGTAGTGCTCATAGCTGTCTTAAGGGCTTCAAATGCTAGACCTGCCTCTGGATTCCATTTGAAGGCATCCTTCCTTAACAAATCAGTGAGGGGCCTACTGATAGTACCATAATTAACAACATACTTTCTGTAGTAGCCAGTAAGACCAAGGAATCCTCTAAGTGCTTTGAGTGTTTTTGGTCTAGGCCACTCGACCATGGCTCTAATTTTTTGAGGATCAGTAGCTACACCTTCCCTGGTAATAACATGCCCTAAGTCACTTGTGGTTGGCCAAATGAACACTTCGTTCTCTTAGCATAGAGCGAATGTCGTTTGAGAATCTCAAACACAACTTTTAAGTGTTGTACATGATCATTTACTGTTAGACTATACACAAGTATATCATCAAAAAACACTAAGACAAATTTTCGCAAGAAGGGTTGGAAAACCTGGTTCATAAGAGCTTGGAAGGTAGCTGGAGCATTGGTGAGACCAAAAGGCATCACCTTAAACTCATAATGTCCTGCATGAGTCCTGAAAGCAGTCTTGAACACATCCTCCCTTTTCATTCTTATCTGATGGTAGCCTGCCCTGAGATCAACCTTGGAGAAAATTGTTGCACCACACAACTCATCTAAGAGATCATCCACTATAGGAATGGGGTACTTATCCTTAATGGTGATGTCATTAAGGCCCCTATAATCAACACAAAATCTCCAAGTACCGTCCTTCTTCTTGACTAGTAAGGCTGGTGAAGAGAAGGGAGATTGACTAGGCTGAATCACTCCACTGGTAAGCATCTCCTTTACTTGTTTCTCCAACTCGTCCTTCTGGTTGTAATTGTATCTATAGGGTCTCAAACTCACTGGCATGGCCCCAGGCTTTAGTGGAATAGCATGATCTAATGACCTCAGAGGTGGTAGGGATTTAGGTTCAGCAAATACCTCGGCATACTGATTTATCACTTCTTGTACTGCAGCATCAGGAGGATCTTCACTCGCATTCGGCATCATGCTCATCATGAACAAGTGAGCAATAAGAGCATGTCCTTTCTTCATGATTGGACTCATGGAATCACTACTGAGCATCTTCAAACTGCCTTCCACTAGAGCTGGCAAAACTAGTTTGTTAGGCTTCCTTCCAATAATGACACATCTTTTTTCATGATCAAACGTAGTGGGGTTGTGCCTTTTCATCCAGTCATTGCCAAGTACCAAATCACAACCTCCTAAGGGAATGATGAGTAGGTCTTCCATAAATGTTCGCCCTTGCATTTTCCACAAAAAACCTTTGCAATGGGATGTGCACATCACATAGTTGCCATCAGCCACGGTCACTCTCACAGGAGGGCAATGGCTGGATTGATGCCCTGTAGCTTGGACGGTGTGCTCATCTATGAAGCTATGAGTACTACCTGAATCAATCAATATAGATAGCTGCCTTTTCTTCACAGTACCACCCACTAGAATAGTGTTTTCACCTTGATTATGACCTGTCAAAGCATTCAGGCACACGGCTTGTTGAATCTCCTGTTCTATTACTCCTTCTATCATCACATCAGGTGATTCATCTTCTTCCTGGGAAGTGTTAATTTCATTCATGTCAATTTCAGCCTCTATTTCCCCTATCAAACAATTAAGTTGCCTCATTTTGCATACATGACCAGGCCCATACTTTTCTCCACACTTGAAGCACAAATGATTGGTTTTCCTATACTCATACACCTCCGGACTGAGTCGGAATGTAGTATTCTTCACAGCGGCGTTAGCAGGCCCTCTGTTAACAATCGTATTAGTCACAGGCTGAGCAGATCTGGTACTTGTCTTGTTCCTCTTTTGAGCAGCTTCAATAGCTAGCTCCTGCATCCTAGCCTTTACAATCGCTACCTTCAATGTAGTAGGTTTAAACAACTTGACAGCAAACCTGATTTCCTCTTTCAATGCTCCTATGAAACTAGATAGAAAGTGAGCTTCATTTAGTGAAGGATTTCGAATGAGCATTTGAGCCTTAAGGTCCTCAAATCTCCCAAGGAACTCATCAACAGAACCTATTTGGTTCAATTTATTAAATTCCTCAACCACATCTTCCACCAGTATGTCACCAAAATGACTGATCAGTTCCTCCTTGAACTCGACCCAAGTCACTAGCCCTCTACTCAACACCAACGACTGATACCATACCTCAGCCAATCCATTCAAATAAAAAACAGCAGATTTCACCTTCTGTTCATCAAGTATTCTATATTGATCAAAGTATTTCTCGCATTTTCGGATCCATACCTTAGGTTCCTCACCTTCAAAAGAGGGCAATTCCCATTTCGGTGGCAGGATAGGAGGTTTTTGGGGTCGATTTCTATTATCCTGAGCTGGATTTGGAAGTAATCCTCCTCCAATGTTTGGACCAGCAGGAGCTTTTTCTAATGCACCCAGCCTGTCTAGAATGAGCTACAATGTGCCTTGAATTCCGACTTGTATATTGCGTGCCTCTTGTTGAGAACTCAGTAGATCGGTCAAAATTTCTTCATGACAAGTGAGCTTGTCCTTAGTTACCTTCCAGCGAGTCCCTTCTGCCATTTCTTACCCACAGGTTGCACAATCGATGCTCTGATACCAATTGTTATGATCTCAATCGAGATCAAAATTCAAATGCAAAAATTAACAATCAATTCAACACCCTTTTTGGAATTTTCTGTGATTTATCAAAAACAAGGAAATTCTAGCTAGAAAAAGAAACTATCTATAGTGAGCTCCATATTCGAGATATGATCTGCAGAAGAGGAAGAAGAGAGAAGAAGATCAGACTTAGATGAGAAGAGAAAAGAATTTGAGAGGAAGAAGAGAGCACGAGGAAAGAATAGAAAATTACCAGATTTCAGTTCCCCTCTCTCTCCTCTGTGATGTGTTTATATAACCATCTGTCCAAGTGGCACGATCTTGTCCCTTCAGCTTTATTTAAATGAATTGAATCTCGGCCCTTTAATCTTTTAATTTCACTGTTAATGGCTTATACTCTTCCCTAGTTCGAATCTTGACAACAACATTTTATAAGCTAGGACTGAGATCATAACAAATTCCCCCCCACTTCATCTTCTTCATCCATTCCTCAGTTGAAAATAATGGAAAAGAAAACAAAAACAAACCTCATATGCAGCTGCAATTTCACGAAACCTGTTTTCTGCTTCTTCTCTATTGTCAACGTTCTTTTCAGGATGCCATTGCAGAGCAAGCATTTTGTATGCCTTTTTGATCTCTGATACAGATGATGTCTTTGACACTCCCAATATCTTGTACCAATCCTTCCGTTGACTCAATTTTAATGATCTCTTAGCCCTCATCAGCACTTCACGAATATTCCTATCCTATAGAAGTGTACTTCAGATTATTTGACATCCATATCAAGGCTAAAAAGATAAAACCTTGACAGAAAGGATCACACACACACGCACACACACATATAGATGGATTCGTATGCAATGAAAATATCAGATAAGCAACAAGAAATCGCTTGAACAAAAACCAAGCAAACTTATTTTTTAGTCAAAAGGAAGGACCTAGCTCACTTCAACTTGGAGACATGGATTGTGAATTTTTTTTTTCTTTTCCTTTTCATATGCTGACTTTTTTTGTCATGCCCAGTGGCGGAGGCACATGCATTTCAATGGGTGTATATTATGCATATTATACCATATATTGACTCCCCTTGGCTTCTTCCTGGGTTTATTCCTTTATATTTTGACACCCCTTGGTGGAAATCCTGGCTTTGCCACTAGTCATGGCTATCACAAAACTTACAAAATCTAATCCTTGTTACATGCAAAACTCAAACCCAACCCCCAAAAAAAGGACATCATATCAATTTATCCACAATGTGATGGCATGATCAAGTTGTCTTGCCAATGTCTTCTCTCATCTTAGATGCAGTATAACTACATGAAGAAAGCTATAAACAGGGGAAAAAAACAAATACCAAACAAAACCACCGAGAAAAGTTGCCAACAAACCTGAGGAGATTTTTCAGCTGCTTCTTTCAAATCTGCAACAGCTCCCTACCAATATTCTGTTAGAAGCTTGGCTTCACCCCTCTCTAAAAAAAAATATGTCCCAACTCAATGATTCAAGATAGAACTGCACCAGCATCAATAAGCTCTCCATCAAACTCAAGGGCTTCTGAACAGCTTGATATAGCATCCTTCCCCCTACCAAGCCTCACCAAGACTATACACAAACCAAGATGAAGATTTACATTATGTGCAGAATGGTTGGGGTCCAACGCCAGGGCTGCTTTGATATAGCAACAGATAAAGGTCTGCACTTACAGCTTGTATGGATGGTTGTTACCTATTGTATTGTATTGTTAGTATAAATACAACATTTTATTTTAAAGACAACTCCATATCTAGGAGTTGACTCTAATTAAGAATTAAAGAATACTTGCCGTTCTCAACCAATAATCATTGTTGGTTGATTTGTCTATTGTGATTTCTGCAATCACCAACAAAAATCTTTCTAGTTGGAATATGAACTCAATTGCTAAAGAACTACAGGAGGATAATCATAATTGATACAAATGGTGAAACAAGAGGGCTAATTTAGTTGTAACATCATTGGTCAGAATCAAAAATATATTAGAACAGCTAATGATAATGTAAATGCAATATAACAAGGATTATATATCAATTAGTTGGTTATTAGGATTAGGTATGATTTTTGCAACAACAATGCATGACAAGATAACTCAACCAAAATTTAGCGGCTAGAGGTGGAAATATTCAGAAATTTGTCCCTCTGGCAGTGAGACATTACAACTATGCCTCGATTCCAAACAAATTACTACTCTGCTACTGCCAGAATTCCTGTGTGAAGCCCCATCAGTGTTACAACATAACCCAAGGATCACCTGGAAGATTTGAGTCCATTGCACTTTTGTGTACTTCAACCTTGGCATATAGGACTCGAGGGAAAATTGACATCTTCCTGGATTGTAGGCATATCATTAAGCATAGGAGGAAATCTCAAGTTATGGAGATCACCGAGAGTAGAATTAACCAATAAAATGATATGTTGTGCAGTACGATCATCTGGACCAGCTAACATAAATTAAGCTAGGAGCCGTTCCACTGATCTACAGCTGAAGAATCAACAGTGTACTAGTTGTAAACTAGTCGTAATTACTATGTACTATTAGTCAAACAACAATAAGTAATCAATCAGTTGTTAGCAAAGTAAATGGCGCGCTTCTCTAAGGACATGAAATAAATAAACTGACGGCTTCGATAAATACATTCAGAACCCAAAATTTAGCAGCAATAAATAAATTCATTAAAATGAAAGGTTGTTACATAATCTTCGACATAAGAAAAAGAAAGAAAGCATATGCAAGTACTAAGTAAGTGAATTAGGTGAGATGAAACTCTCCGCATAAACAATTCCACGCTTAGTGATATTACATTTAGGGCATGATTTAAATGGTCCTCTAGATGTCGTGAATATAGAATTACAACATCTGTTACCTTTGCACTGTAGTAACACTTCACAATCTGCAAACATATATTTTGGTCTGGCTGAATGGAAAAGATTAGTATCTCGTATTTCAATCAACTTAATCCAAGATTCCCTGACACCATAGTCTTTCATTATCCACAACTTAAAAGTGCCGATCCTGCCCTCCGTCCAATGATTATGTGTAGAATAAAAGCAAAGCATTCCTCTCAATACTGAAACACCATGGTCGATGATGTAGTAGCGGGGGCTTACACCAAACATTTGCTCCAATAACGGTACCTCCCCATACACCTCATTTGAAATATTAAATGAAACGGTAGTATAATATCCAGAGCATGACATAGCAAGCCAATGAAATGCTCCATGTAGAAATGCCAAATAATCCATACCACTATCCATAAAACCCCTAACAGGCTTAGGCTTAATGCCAGTAGGATAACCAATTCTTCTCCAGGAACCACTCTTTAGAGAGAATAATTGAATCGAAGTATAAGAACTATCAATTGCATTCAGGCTAATTGCAAGGATCTTATAGTCTTCACTAGTTGCATCATATTTCAATCCACATACACAAGTCCTCACTGGAAATTCTGGATGGGGAAGTAGTCTGGATTCTCTTGTGGACGGGTTCCACAACACAAGTTCCTCATAATATCCTCCAGAAGAAACAAGAGTAAGAACCAATCCATCACAAGAACAAAATATTAAGGCAATCTTTGGTTTGCAGCTTGAAGGCCAATCAAGCTTTTGTTTATCCTCACGCATCGATAAAGAACAAGTATAGAAGTCAAAATCCTTCATAAATAACCTTTCGATGGTAAGAAGTTTTTGGGAATTTTGGTCATCCCTGTTATGAATATAATGTGTCCTCCTAAAGTAAGGATCATTAATTAATGACTTCCAAAATTTTGAAACACATTTGAACCGAAGAAGAGACCGCACAGGTAACGTGCGGAGGATGTCCATCATTATTTCCTCTTGGAAATGAATTCTTGTGACCTACCTATACATGGAGTATATCAAAATGAAGAATAAATATAAAAAAAGAAAGCTACAACAACTAGAGTTAGTTCAAGCACAATGGTAGTTTTTAGAACTTATGAGATTTTTATGTTCAAATTGTATGGCCAAATAAAACATGTGATATAATTCAGATAAAAGAATTGAAGTGAGAAGTGACCTGATGAATCTCCATCTGGTGTGTATTATCATTTGAAATGCTCTTCCCTGAAATTCAGCCATTAAAACACACACATAGCAGAAAGAAAGAAAGGAGGTAAGAAAGACGGGATACCTTTGCAAATTTGATTCTTCTTCTTCTTGTGTTGGCATCTGGAAAGATTGAATTTTCGGGTAGATTCTTCTTCTCCATTGCTAATCTGATCAAACTTTTCTGTGTTGGTAATAATAATATTAGGTTTTAGAATGGATTTCTTCGCTTTTCTATTTGCTAAATTTCCATGGCCATGGGAGGCTGCACACTTCTTCTTTTGTGCCATCTCAAATGCTAGCGTTTCTGGTGCCAATTTAGGCGCCCCAATATTACAATCTTAAATATATATTCTAAGTATTTATGAGAAAATGCCACAAGTGGTTTTTGAACTACCGGACTACCTCTAAAATAGTCTTTAACTATACATTTATCATACTCCCTCCGTTTCACAAAGAATGATCTGGTTTGACTTGGCACAGAGTTTAAATAAATAAAAAAAACTTTTGAATCTTGTGATCCTAAATTAAAGTTAAGTCAAATGTACAAAATTGCCCTTAATCTTGTGGTCTTAAACATGCCACGTGGAAAGCAAAAAGTAAATTGTTACCAAAAAAGGAAAGAAGTCATTCTTTTTTGAAACTGACTAAAAAGAAAAGGAGGTCATTCTTTGTGAAACGGAGGGAGTATTTATTAATCTCAAATCTTATTAAATTTGGTCTCTTAAAATACACTTAGCGAATTTAGATCTTTAACTATTTTAACTTTTGTCAGATTTAGTCCTTTAACTATACACTTGTCGGTTTTACTTCTACTTTAAGTATTTAAAAACTCATCAGTATGTTTATTTTTTTTAATACAAATATTGTATGTTTACATTAACAGAATTCATGTCTCCATGGAATTAAATTCTCAACCCATTTTTTCAGTTATTTCTTTTTCCCACTGCTTTCTTTTTTATTATTATTTTTATAAAATCAAACAATAACTTACTTGTTATACGTATCAAATTTGGGTATTTATCAAAAAAAAATCTTCTTCCTGTTATATTCTCTATTTAGATTTCTATATGCATGTCAATAATTATTGTATGATTATTCACATCTATTTTGTAATTATAATATTTACACATTTTTTGTTTTGACGCACATTAGGTGTTTAAAGAAATGTGTGACTAGAAAGTTAGATTTTATTTGCTCAGTTTCAGTAGTAGAATTAATTTGATTTTATTTTTTTGGGAAAATTTCAGAGATCACATACTTTTAAGGTAAAATTACAATATATCCCTTAAAAGTTTATAATTACAAAAATCCCTCAAATTGATACAATAATATAAGCATTGACATATTAATCTGTTGCGCGAGATACATTAATCGTTAAGTAAGATACATTACATTTTATACATGATACACTAATCTGATGTACATTTTATACATGATACACTAATATGATGCGCGAGATACATTAATATGATGCACTGATACATTAATTTGATGTGCGAGATACACTAATTTGATGCATGAAAATGAGAGGTTTTGGAGATTTGTAAAACTTATAGGGAATAATGGTAATAAGTAAACTAAAAGGTGGGATTTCTGTAATTTTTCCTATTTTGTTTTTTGCTAATGAGAATGAATAAGACGTTCATAAGATTGTCCACGTGGGTTGATCCATTTGTGAAGATATTCTATTATAATTCTTAACTTCCGACTTTTGGCTTGTAAGTCATAAGTTACAAGCCCATCCAACTAGAAACGCAAAATTTGACCAATAATAGATCACTTAATTTTCACTTCCACTCAAAATTCTTAATTGTGCTAAAAATTAAAAAATCAATATTAATTTTCAAACTTGATTGAAAAAATAGATTATTTTTTTTTCGAACAAAAAAAATTTAGGGGTAGGTTGGTGGAAGGGGCGGGGCACCTTGGGGTGGGGGTACCTGAAAACAGTTTTTTTTTTTTTTGGAAAACTAAAAAAATTTAGGGGTCAGTTGGTGGAAGGTGGGCGGGGATGGGGAGGGGTTAAATTTATTTTTATTTTTACAAAAAAACAGATTTTTTTTTGTTTTTGGAAAAAAAAAATTAGGGGTAGGTTGGTGGAAGGTGGAGGGGGGGGGTGCCTGGGGAGGGGGTAATTATTTTTTTTGAAAAACAGATTTTTTAAAATGGGTTAGAACCATTTTACCCAAACCATATTTGACGAAATCCATATTTACCCATATTCTATTTGGGTTGAATTGTAATCCAAACCATTTTTGTTCAATCTATATTCAATCCATCCAAATCCGATCCAACCCAACCATTTGCCACCCCTACTTCCACTATGCCTTATTGTCTTTGATTTGTTTGTAGAATTTTTTGCTCTACGTCTTAATTTCAGATTCATGAACTCCAAACAACAATTAAGTGATTCAGATAATAATAAAGTAGAATATTCATCGAAAATAAGGCACAATTTTAGCAAAATAGATTTGCAAGTCTATTCATTTTACCCCTAGCAAAATAGTGAATGAATAAGGAAAGTAGGTATATGTGAACCGAGGGAAGTCACCCGATTTCGTGATGTGCATAGTCCATAGGTGATGGCAGATTGGATGAGGAGATGTTTCAAAAGCATAGTAAGTAGACAATATCTCTCAGCCTAATAGTGAAGAAGTTTTTGCCTATATTGTTAGGAAGAAATTGAGATAGGCAAAGCAAAGCACTATATAGATAATTCAAAACAATAATATACATTTACTAGATCGACACCATCATTACAAAATAATAGTGGTTGACATAACACTCTGTATGTATTAATTTCAAATTTCTGAATCAACTTCTGCGTGACGACGTCACACCATGGTGTTCAATCATTCTCTCTTGAAGTGACTATAGTGTCTTGTATCACTTGACTCTCTTGTTTAAATTTCTTGTATAGCATAAATTTTTCTTCTCAACACCAAAATCAATGAACAATGGTACCTACAAATGTAGCACCACTAATTATTAAAAATGCTTGTTTATAACATTGTACCCCAACACAATTCAAATCTTCTCCATTTTTTCTAGTGAAAAATCCATTAGCTTCTAATTGTTTCAATGCTTCTTTATCATATAAATGACCAGCAACTCTCACATTGACTATATATCCACCTATAGGACTAGCCACAGAGCCAAAACTATACAAAGTGGCATAGTACTTTAGTCCAAATAATTCCAAAATTATCCACAAAATCAATGGTCATTGAGCTCCAAAACAAAACCCCATGAGAACAGAGGACACGTAGAGTGAATTTCGAACACCAAATGCAATGAGAAGATGGCTAATGCACGAGAGTAGGAGCACGAAAGTGAGCATCAAGGGACACGAAAAATTGTATTTGTCTAACAAGATTTCCGAGGCAAATCCTGAGGATACTCTTCCAAGGTAATTCCATATGCTCACTAATGACACGAATGTACTGATGCTTGAGTCAGGGTAACCTAAGGCCTTCCCAAATTGACCTAAGTTATCGATCGATGTCAATGTCCCTCCAACCCCAAACTTTGTAGCTACAAATAGAATCAACATGTCAATGTTGAAGAACGCTTGCAAGATTGTGTGATCTTCACCTCTTTCAAGTGGATTAAGCGCGCTCTTAAAGCACAAACTCCAATTTGTTTTCGATAAAGGGGATTATCCACTTGATTGACGCATTCAATTGTGAAATGTCACTAGAGACTAGTCCTCTTTTGCTCTTCCAAATGTTAAATTCTTCTCTAATGACTAAAACCAATGGTGAGAATATTAGAACTAGAACAACAACACCACTTATCTATAAAGCATAAAACACATACCGATAGCAACATTCAGAGGACACTTTTGTTCACCTTTAGCTTGGAGAGCATAAAACCTATTCTGCTTTGGAGCATTCGCATCCGAACCACTAGGATGAACTTGCTTACCCTTTCTTTCCTTAGCCTTCATCTTTGGACAATTCCTCATTTTGTGGCCATTTTCACCACAACTAAGGCAACCCTCCATACCGGCTAAACACCTATCATCATGTCTCATTCCACATCTAGCACAAGTAAGCCATAGGGATTCACTACTAATTCCTTACGGTTTAGGGTAGACACCCTATCTTCACTATACTTAGGAGCATTGGAGGAGTCTTGTCTGGAAAAACCTTTGTCGATGCTTAGGGCAACCATGTCCATCGGACCTTACATGAGGGGAATTATCATCAGAATGAGTCATAAGACAAGCAATATCCATGTCACCAATGATCACAGCGGTACGACATTCTTTCACTACTAAATCGGACACTCCCGACACAAACTTACTAATTCTCGACCTAGAGTCAGCCACTAAAGATGGAGTATACTTAGACAATTGAGTAAACCTCAATGCATATTCCTTAACACTCATATTACCTTGCCTAAGGTTAATAAACTCAAGCACCAAAGCCTCTATCATCTCAAGAGGGAAGAACCTATCAAGAAAAGTTGTTTTGAACCTTTTCCATTCTATGGGGCCCATTCCTACCGGTGTAGCTTATGTCCATTGATTGAACCAAACTTGAGCAACTTATCTGAGTTAGTAAGCGGCCAATTCCGCCTTCTCCGCCGGAGTAACCCCCATAATGTCTAACACTTTATTGACCTCATTTATGAATTCTTGAGAATCATCCTCAAGCTTTATACCATAAAATTCCAGAGGGTTCATCCTCATAAAATCCCTCACTCTTAACGCCGTCGTACTCACATTTGGGTTCATGGGACCTATCACTTCCCTATTGGCTTGGGTCGTCACGACTTGAGCCAACACTTGAAAAGTGAGCCTGAACTCCGCATTAGTCACATTCTAAGACATAGGGTCAATTAGAGCTTGGGGAGGAACTTCTTGATCCATGTTGTCTTCTTCATTCCTTCTAGCATTAGCGCTTGTAGTAGTCATATCCTATATACCATCGGGTAAGGATTAGGAGAAAGACCTTATAGAGTTAAACTCTATGGCACGACTTAGTGAAATGAAGAAGTGAAGTTTCCTAAGCATCTAGTAGCCTCTCATTCATAAATGTGGCGCGCTTCACACTCATGAACAAGACTCTACTTGACATGGTTTTGATACATCCTAGAACCATTCTAAACCTTATGCTCTGATTACCAAGTTTGTCACGACCCAGGGGTACACCCTAGACGTAACTTAGCGTATAAGACTACGAAAAAACTCATACAAGAAACTTAGCATATCATTACATAAGATAATGGAAAATGGTGCGGAAATTTAAAATATTTGTTCTTAACATCAAAGTTTCATAAA